AGTTTGTGAACAGTTTCCACAGACAAGAATTAATAACAAATATTTATATGCAATAAAGTGCGTATTTACATAATGACACCATAGCACAGAAAATAACCTATATTTGAGGGTTCATGGATTTTTGCATTGCATTTTAGTTGTACTTTAAGCATGTATATTATGTTACAATGCCTTTCTGAATATCTATATTTTTTAACGCTATTAAATAAAACTTGACACATCACGTGCCATTTGGAAAACAATGTAAATGAGAAGTTTCAGAATTCTAAACTACTTTAGTGCAACCAGGTGGAAAGGGGCACTATTAGGGGCTTCTGTGACAAAAATATCACCCCCCCCCCCCGAAAAAGAGCTTTATCGAAAGTAGCTTTACAATTATCCCCAACAATGCTAACGGGATACACTTGCTCGCTTTTGGTATTCCATTTAGTATCGCACAAACAACAATACGACTTTTATTGTCTTATTCATTTGATAAGATCACATTTCAATTCCATCAAGTAGATTATTTTGAAGAACGACATAAGAATATGATGAGACAAGTCGAGTTAGTCTGCAAGCACAAACCCTGGTCAGTCGTAAAAGTGAGTCTGCACTATTAGACTACCATAGGCACATTGAAATTCTCTCAAGGCACAATAATTTGTTGATGAAGTGTGAAATTAGGGTATTTGCCTGCAGACTAGCGTCGAGTCGCGTTGACTTGAACGCGACCACTCGTCCAAGCCCCCACCCCCCCCCCCCCCCGGTTTGGCCGAAAGGGTGCGTTGACTAGTCTTCCTCATCAGTCGTTTATAATAGAATTTAAGGTCTAGAAATTTTAGTCGTTTTAATTGAAATATTTAAAATAGGAACAGATTACAAATTAAATAAAACTACTTTTTACGTAGTCTTGAGATCAGGCGCTTTTAAGAATTAAATCAATTAATAAATTCAATAAATATTCAAAAATGTCAAATAAAAATAATATCCATTTCTTTCTATGTATAGAATTCATTTTTTTAATATAAACTCGTCATGCATAACGGTCTTTACAAATGAAATTTTTTTAAAAAACGGAGTAGACATACCGTCTTAATGCACCCTTTCGGCATAAGCGGGGGGGGGGGGGGGGGGGGGGTTGTTGAATTCCATACATAGCAAGAAATGGATAACATTTTTTTCTTATTTCATTATATTACAATGCCTTTCTGAATATCTATATTTTTCAACGCTATTAAATAAAGCTTGACACATCACGTGCCATTTGGAAAACAATGTAAATGAGAAGTTTCAGAATTCTAAACTACTTTAGTGCAACCAGGTGGAAAGGGGCACATATTGCTCCGATTGTCTCATTTTCGCTCGCGTGAACATTGCCAGCACAAACCACTGACCTCTACCTCCTGAACGGATCATCGCCCATTCCCATTATACGTTACGTACTAAAAGGCTGTATTGTCTGACCGTTCATGAATATTCATGTTTTTGCTAAACTCGGCAAAATGTTTGCTTTTACTAAATGGAAAAATTACGGTGGGGGGTTGGATGAAATGGACATAATGAAATAGGCAGAAGTGATCTATGATAATTCATGCTTTTTATGTTTCGTGTGCTCGACCTATAATCTTCAAATCGCTTGGTAAACTGAGTCCAAAGTTAGACTTGTTTCACATGTGTATTATAGGCAATGACGAGCTTGCAACCTATTTTGAAAAATTACGGTGGGGGAACTTTCAAAAGTCAATGAGACATGAGGGCTCCAATGAAAGAGCTAGTGATAACGTACGTCGGGGTGGATGTGCTTTTCGTTTAAACAAAAAATGAATTTTTAACGATTTAAAAAAAAAACGTCCATAGGCTATAACATGTTAGGCTGCTGACTCAGACCATGCTCTGACGATATGGGGCGTTGTGAAATGAGACTAAACGGAGCCATATGCTATTAGGGGCTTCTGTGACAAAAATATCATCCCCCCCCCCCGAAAAAGAGCTTTATCGAAAGTAGCTTTACAATGTATTATTCCCAACAAAGCTAACGGGATACACTTGCTCGCTTTTGGTATTCCATTTAGTATCGCACAAACAACGACAGTACGCCTTGTATTGTCTTATTCCTTTGATGAGATCACATTGCGATTTCAATTCCATTAAGTAGATTATTTTGAAGAATTACATACGACATAACAGTATGATAAGAGCAACTTTTGCACTGGAACCCAATAAAATCGTCAAACATTTGCCCACTCGCTCGCTTCGCTCGCTCACAAAGGAAACCTCAGGCCATTACTTGCAACCAAAAAGTTTCCGTGTAATGTTGTCCCCCCCCCCTCACTTTTAAAAATGACATTCGGCAGACAGCTGGAGGTAGAAAGGAAGTTATGATGATTTTTATCATAAAACTAAAGCTAAAACAGCAACTGGGATACACCAGCCAAATGTATACTTACAGTTTAACTCTAGATTGCGCAGTTTCCCCATGGGCGATAAAACCACAGTATTCTTACTAATGCGGTAATTATCTTTTTCAGTTTATATTTCAAGGCCATGTACTCTTGATAATAATGTTATTCAAACTGGTCTTGATACGCACGCGGTATGTAACCATAGTCTGTCTACAAGGAGAAATATCACCCCGCCCCCAAACACACACATGGTGGCGGGCTTGTTTCTAGCTGATATTACATGTACATAGACAGTTATATATTATTTAGGAATATATTCTTGGATTTAAAGACCGTTCATGTTATAGTCAATAGATTTATCTCTGCACAGTGCAGTAAAAAGTGAGAGTGATTATTATGTAGTGTTACTATAGTGTACTTCAGAATTGCTTCTGTATCTTCCTGGTAGTACATGACTTGTGTGTTACAGTGTCACCAATTAGTATATACAAAGACATGATTTTATATCACATATGAATATATGAAGTTCTTACCGACAAGTTTCAACCACTGTGTCTAGTTCTCATTGATCACCCTGATTCAAACCAATGGCGGTTCTAGAAGGGGGCGTGGAGGGGCATGGAGTCTCCCCCCCCCCCAAACCCCCAATAATCCTCCCCAAACAGATTTATTCTCCTTGAACTGTTCTGATTCTAATTTTAAACGCACTGAACCCGTTTAAAAAAGAAGACGAACTAATTTCCCCCAAGAAATGTAATATAATTTTATATACAGTCAATGTTGGAGGTTACAGCTGCCAATTTTTGTTGTTGTCTTGATATGAAGCGAAGCTACATTGCCAACCAACCGACAAAATTCGCATAAAGCATCAACATGGAACTCATGCCAGCAGATAAAAAAAAAAAAAAGCGGTATGCAGCCATGATTATTACATGTAAAGTAAACAACTGGTTCATTCATACCCTTACCGAGTTTTGTGGTGAAAATAAAATTAGGCTGTTCACATATTTATCAATCTTTTCTAAATTACAAAGTAAAATAATGTAAAGCATGAACTTTGGGGTCGGTACTGTATAATTCCATTTCAACGATAGTCAACGATAGATATCAACATGAGGTGGTTTCAAATCAAGATGTTTAATATTATATACGAAGGATACTTTGGTAAGATTTGGTGTAGAAGCTGACGAGAAGTGTACTTTTTGTAATTTTGCAAAATCAAACGTTTATTGTAAACAATCTATGAGCTGTATTAATATAATCCCTTGTTTTTCATTTAATTCGATCTGCAATATGATTTATTATGAACAGTGATCTTTGCATTTGTTTTCAAAATTGCAATATCTTGGAAAAGAATCAAAATAATGAGGCAAATTTATATTATGATGTGATTATAATGAATGTTTTGTCTACAACCAGTCCGTCTACTATCCATATGGTCTAATAATCATTCATTCATGAAAAATTATAATCATTTAATGATTATAATATCTTATGGCTAGAAGACAAAATGAGCATTAGACAAACTGGGAATTAGACGGATTGGAAATTAGACAAAATGAGCATGAGAACATATAGTTAGTAGAATTATTATTGGAGATAATACCAAATGGAAATTCTACCAAATAGCTGATAGCCTATTATGGTCATTAGAACAAATGATAAGTAGACGAAATGGTTTTTAAACCAATGCATGTGGTTAGTAAACCGGCTGTCTTTAGGCCATATGGGAATAGACCAATCGAACTGGTTTTACATTGTGTACTACGATTTCTTTCCCCCGAAAAACTACTTCAACTAACTTCACTGTAGGTCTGTAGGACCTAAACCTTTCGCGAGGATTTTCCACCATCGCCGTCGGTCCTCTGGTTCCTTACTAACAAGCATTTATGCTTTCTTAGCAGTCAGGTAAAAATAAGCACCACTATACCTCCACCACCATGCTTAACAAAAATACGCACAGTGAAGAACGAACAACGATGACGTCGACTTGACGCTGACACACAGTATTCTCACTCACAGACCCTTTGGTATGCGGAGTGGATTTATCTGCAAAAGATAGTTTTCCTGCATGTATTGAGTGAAATAAATCAGGATCTTGTTCTTCTCTTAATCGAGTTCCGCTAAAAGCCGAGAACGAAAAAATCAACTCTTATCTTTCTATAATGAAAATATGAAGAAAACAGCCAATTTCCAATGTTATTGTTATATGTTTAGTTCATTAATTAAGTTGATTCATTTACCAAAAAACTCAAAATCTTTTTCGAACATAATATAGGAGCAAAGCATTTTTCATAGTCATAGTTTATACAAACTGAAACATAATTATAAAAACATTTTATCATTTGATAAACGAACTTAAATACAACACAATTTTTTTTCTCATAATATCACAATGTATCACAATAGCACAATTACATTATATGAAAATATTACTGCACTACACAGTCATTTCATCCCCAAAACTAAAACAAGCATTGCTTGTTTTTTCAGAATAAAACTGAATACTCTTAGAATTTTGATTTTCATATAATCTCAACATAAAATAATTGAAATTATGATGTGTTCCTGTATTTAAATACAAAATGTACCCCAAACTCCCTCTCTTCCCACCTGATCCACATAATATCCTAGGTAGTACTATGGATCCTTGCGCACGACCTCCATAGGTACGACCTATACCAGTGCCGTCTCTCCGTCTTTAGTGACGCAGGATCCAAGGTCTAACCAGGGAGACTGGTCTCCGTATAGCAGCATGTACATTACGCTGCTACTGCTTACCACCGCGTTGTCAAGCGGTGGATAGGAGCATCGAAAACACAGCCAGAGCTCTAGCGCTGCATGTCGGCGCGCAGTGCACCGCCGATAGCCTGGGCGACTCGCTGCTAGCGCTGGCTATGAATTAGCTGGGCGATAGGGCATTCAGAGACTCGTTTTCATGTCGACTGGGGAGGTAAAAACCCTCATTAAGACCGTGTTTGTCTGGTTTTTATTGAGGTACATCGCTACTATCGCTGTGGTAAGTCCCTGTCACCATTTTGGATAACCTAGATACAAAATAAGAATATAACAACTGCAAAAATGGAGATCATCCACCTGTAATGATATGTGATTTCGTGGAAATCCTATCCCGGCCCGGGCAGTCTAGTGCGGTGCCAGTGCAGTTGCCACTCATTTGCAGTGGGTAGCTGTGCCAGCGCCAGTGCCACTGCCAGTCAGTTTGGGCAAGTTGGGTGACTGTATAGCTGTGCACTTTGCTTTCAAAGTCTTCAAACCTCTAATTTGTTTGTTTTTGTCAGTTCCACAGTTATTCTGAAGTCGAGCTGTTGACAAAATTATAGTAGTCGAGACAACAGCTAGCACATGATTTGCTGCTGTTTTCGGTTGATGCTTTTGTTCCCCTAGCTGGCTCGACTTTGCAAAATCCATTCAACAAAATTAGACCCTAAACTAAATCCTAAAAGGTGTAATCCGCACATGTACATGTAATGAATGAATGCAAATCTTATCTTTTCGGCTGACTAATGTGAATTTCATACCTATTTCAAATTTATGATTCTAGATCTAGATCTATGACAAGAAAATAAGATTTTTTTTTTGTTTGTTTTGTTTTGTTTTTTTTTTTTTTTTTTGGGGGGGGGGGGGGGCAAATGATCTGGGCCTTCTTGTATTAAGAATAAGTTTGGCGTCAGTTGCAAAATGACAATGGACCAGTCTAGATCATTATTGTTCAATCCACCATTATAACCAATCAGAATATATGCAATCGAACGCAAAACTTCGTGTTACAGGGCCCAGATATTTGTCTTGTTACTCGGTAACCTTGGAGTAGTACATTTAAATGTTGCATTGTGTGTACATGTATTTTGTGGGTTACTGGGGTGGTAGCTTAAGGACCTGCATAGCGTATGGACTATCGCCATATATACTCATCAACATTGTATGGTCATACAACTTTAATGTTTATTAGTAATGCGTATCGACTTTCAGACTGCGAAGCTAACTTTTCAATGGCAGAATTGCAGAACTAACCGAGTCAGAATAATACGAAGGGGGAAAAGGCTTGTTTGATGCAATGTTACATAGTCTTTCTAGGCCTGCCTCTAGACTGTACTTCTTTTTTGGATAATGGGGCATTTGCATTAAAAACTGTTTGGCACCTTGGTAATCAGCAAACAACAACTCTGGATTCATGATTTTATTTTTTGCCTTTTGTAGTACACTTTTGTAGGAAATCACCTCATAGCTTTATTTGTGCATACAGTCATGAAGCTAACCCAGAGGTATGAGTAGGCATACATGTAAGCGGTTGTATCTTAGATTGACTATGCGGCCAGCTCCTGCTTCAACAAAAAGATAGTTTATAAAGTAAGCATGGCCATTAAGAATTGTTTGTTTTGTTATATAGAGTTTTGGTAGATTTACAAGCTTATATCTAGTAGGATAAATGGGATACCCTTGTACAAGAGATGTTTCTAATTGGGATTTTCCTGCTATGGGCAACACACCTAATGTTTCAAAGGATCAATTATATTGCCAGCTATCATGGAATACCATCCAGCCTGAGAAAGGAATATGATCAAGGGAGTACACATCCAATTGAAGGGAATATACTTGACTAGGTTAGACATGTGTAGTATGAATCATCCTAATGATATTGTAAGAGTCTGCCCCCCCTCGATTTAAGTTATTTGGGTGTTTTTTGCCGAATCATTCTGGCACAATTACCTTTTCAATTATGCGGTTGACAGAGACAATAGTTAACACTGCATGTTAAAGAGATACATTTACATAATTGTTTCATGAATAGGACCCTACATACATATTGCGAACATGTACATGTAGCCTGTCAGGATATGTTATTTTGTTTCAATATTGAGACGGCAATCTGCACAAGCAAGTACGTGCATGTGACATGAACGTAAAGATAGATTAGTACTTTCACCTGTCTTTTGGGGCTCCTTGGTAAGATAACGCCTTGTAATGCCCACCAATAGCTCATCAAAAATAGCACTGCAATGGTTTCATTTGCTGATAGACTACATCCGTATCTGGATGATGACTGTGGGAAGACTCAACAAGATTAACGCCTGCTGGACCTGTAACTAAACTTGTTTTGCTGTGTCGCAAGATAGTATATTGTACTTCATATTCATCTTTGAGACCCGAAACTTTACCAGAGATAATTTAATCATAGAAAGAAACAAAATACAATGAATGAAGACATCCAGGAGTGGACATTAAATTGTGCTATACATTGATCTACAGCTAGGTCTATATATTGGTGGGATTTTTGTCCAACAAGTGCATAGTGATGATCATGGCATAGTCCTACAAAATGACTACATGAACTTTTTTGGCTGAAACCTAACATAATCATCTTTTACATTAAAATTTCCTTAGTTTTGATCATTTTCAAAAGTATCAAGCTTTTTTTGTTAAATTCTTGTGTTTGTTGAAATTATAACTGTAAAGATTATTGCAGGCCACCATACTGCAATCCATTAAAATATGTAATCCTACAAAGTTTAAAGGTCTAAATAAGATCACATAGGATAACAAGAGATTGCCTCACTCACATTTGGAAGTTGCTTAAGCATCCACACGTAGCCATGACAAATGTACTAGAAATAATAACTATCACTGATTGAAATAAGTGTCCTGATGATTTTTAGTCATCCTCTATATGAGTTATCATTTCATGATTCCTGGAATTTTATTTATAATTAAAAAAAAAAAAAAAATTTATATTTTGTTTCTTTCATTTGGCAGAGCTACTAGCAACGGTATAACCTCCAACACTGTGTCAGGTACATCAACAAAAGTGGACCCGAAGTAATGCCGGTTTACCTTCGAGGCAAAGTTGAGCTGGATAACGCAACAATGTCAACATACCTAGCATCAAGCATTCCAGATGGCCTTCGTTGTCTCCTTACCTGCTCAATCTCGCTCATGACACAACCATCAAATTTGTCAGCGCTGTCGTGTTTGAGGAATCTTCCTTCAGGTGAACCAAAAATGGGATGTCCACTTAAGTTCAACTGTGAAGAGAGATGAAGCATTTTTCATGCTATGGAATCTTAAATTCCCTTCCCTTTTTGCATCACTGAACCATAGAAAAGCAGCACATGTAGGCCTGTGATCCTCTGGAAGGACTAAATAGTACATCAAACTTGTTCAGAAAAAGGACATGTAAAACTACTTATGGCCTGAGTTACACCAGCTATGTTGAAACTTTTAGGTTATGTCACCTTCAATCCTTCAACAAACAGTCAAAGTGATATCTGCCACTCATTCGAAAAATCATTGCCCAACTCGAAGCTTCAAAAGTCCTGGATATTATTTCAAAGTGGTATCAAATTTCTTGATACAGACCTCTCATTGAACTTTCTCAGACTATGTAAATCTACATACGCATACTACAATTATGTATAGAGTATATCATGTGACAAGGTAACCCCCCCCCCCCCTGTATCACTCTAACTTACTTTATTTCATTTTCTTTGTCTTTACTTTATTTGTCTTTCTCTCCCGCCTCCCCCTCTCATGCCTAAACTGATGCTTGTGCTATCTGGTTAAGATTTACAACCACATTTTTAAAAATCTATTTAAATTGGTTCTTCTTTTTAGACTTGTGAATCAGCCAGATAATATACTTTTCAACTGTATACTTTCTCCATTTAATCTCTCTCTATTCTATTCAGATCTCTGTTCCCATTTTCACCTTTGATTTAAGATTAAGCCTTATTAATGATTTATGCATACAGTTTAAGCCATTTCCCCATGTTATAGCTATTTATAATTACATTGTGTGTTATTGTTCTTTCCCTATTTCTCTCATGTTTCTTTCACCCTTAGTGTCCCCATCTCTCTCCTCCACCCCCTCCCCCGTCTCTTGCACACATACATCCTCTTGTCATTCTTGTATCCTCTTTCATCTGTTTTATTTCAATTCAATATAAACTCTATTCTAAGGCCTTACATTCTTTGATGACAAAACCTACCCATAATTTGATGGGCAATTATGTTGATGATAGTTTGCATTTTTGCTTATCAGTTTTACAAGCTTTATTGTAAAGCTTTGTTGTTTGGTTATTTGCACTGTCTTCTATAGAAGGTGTTTAAATTATTGTTCATATTAAACTGTATTTGTAATAATTTATATTCTGGGATTTCTGGCTTACATGTACTGTAAATGCACAGACAAACGTGCACATAGAGCATTACAGTTACTAATTAATTTATGCAATCCTGTAACTCTAGTAATTACTCCATACATGTATCAACAACTGTATACTTCAAAATCAAGATCTTATCCCATGATCTTACTTTTAAGAAAATGAATCAGTAGTGCCAGTATATTAGATTGGTCCAGTCATTGAGAGGGCACTGGTGTCTTATCCCCTTCTCTTTCTTTATAGATTTTTCCCCATTTGATGGGAGGAGAACACAGATCTCCTCCATGAAGAAAGTGCATGCCATTTAAATTGTGTAATTGATATAGAAAAGTGTAATTATATTCAGCTTGTGCAATGACGTACATGCAATTGTGCTCCTTGTCTTGGACTTGTAAAAGTGGATTTGGATGTAGGGCTAAACAATATTTATAATTTTCGGCTTTACGTATGATCTCGAGTTTTCATCTGATAACTGGTGAATTCGGGGAGATCGCTTAGGTGTGTATCTCTAGAATCTTATTTTATTTCTTAATATTTCATAATGTATATTGCATCATGTAATAACTTGTCATTAACCTGATGTTGATTTTGATATATTGACTATTTTGTAACACACTGGACATCGATTTGGGGGATAATAGACTTTACCTTTTATGTTTTTAAGTAGTTGTGTTTGCATGTTATAACCCTCTGATTTCATCGAATTTCATTGAAAGAGAGGTATCCTTGAAGTAGTTTATAAGTTACAGTTCTTTAAGAATACTTGCTGCATAATTTGATAATCCATTAGTGTATGCATCATTGAATCACCCAAGATTTCAATATGGTGGAGAGATGAAAAGTCTCTTGTAGTTTTGTTTTACATCAAGTAGCATTTTTAAACAGAGTACTGGTAAGATAGCTCCTAATGCTTGGCTATAGTTCGCCCAGTAAAATTGATGTCTGCATTTAGGTGCTGTGTTTTGATATAATTTAAGTATGTGCCGGAGAAGTAAATCATGTAAAAAGCTATAAGAAAGTTGTTTTAAAGAAGCAATTTCTTCGATATTTTAATTACTATACTCATACTACAGGTAGTCCCATCCTCTAGCTTTCTCAGTGACCAGGGTAATGTATGTAAACCACTTAGAGACATCTAAGATGTTTAATATTCAATTGAGGTCCACCCTGATGTTAAGTTTGTTTTTATAATAGAAGTAGAAAAATGAGAGGATCAGGTCAATGAAATTCTGATTTAAGAATAAGAAAGTTTATGAATTTTGGAAATTGTGATCAAAAACAAAGTGGCATCTCTGTGACATTTCTTGTGAGCTTCCCTACCCTTCGCTCTGTAGATAACATGTCATAAATTTAGATTTTCTTCATTATTGATGATGGAATAGATTTTTCCATACAGGGGTTGAATATAGAAACATATTTGCAATAATTTAGTGGTTTAGTAGCTTAGTGGTGGTTATTTTACCTGACTGATAAGAAAGCATAAATGCTTGTTAGTAAGTAACCAGAGGACCGACAGCTTTAGGTCCTCTCCGAGGGACCTGGTAATGAGAATTAATGCCTTACTAAAGGGCATTAACGCATCGACTTGGTTTCGAATGCGGGTTGCCGGATCACGAGACCACTGCTCTTCCAACTGAGCTATCGCGCCCAAGGGTTCATGAAAAACTTCTTTGGAGAAAACGGACATTTCGTGATTTTTTGTTTAAGTACAGAGCAAATGGGAGGAGAGACGATGCGCCAAAGAATTGCCAATTTTTGTTTGATTGATTACTTTCTTTTACTTTAAATCAGAACCTGACCCTCTCACTTTTCTGCTTTTAAAAACCAAATTAATATCAGTCAGGGTGGATTTCTCCTGTAAGTGCTATATAAATCCAGAATATTATTATCATCATCTGTTTTTTTTTTTTTTTTTTTTTTTTTGCTCAAAGGTATAAATGCAATGGTATTTATTAAGTGTCCAAAGATGCCCAATATAATAATTGTTCGAATTCAGAATATACCTTTTTAATAAAACTCTTTTATCAATACAATATTTTTTGAAAATTCTGTGAGATATACTGTATTTGATTTTATGCTAAAGACGTCATGTTCTTAAAGTATTATTGTTCCCGGCTGTGTGACAGAGAGTGTAGAGTGAATGGTCCTTGTGAAATGTGAAATGTTGCTGGTATTTGGACGAAGTCTAAGAGAGCAGAATGTCTGCTCAGAGCCAGAGAAGGTGTTAAACTCAAATCAGTTGACTCACAAATGATAATGCCCTTTTGGCTCTGAACAGACGATGTAAATTACAGAAGCACATTTATTGGTTTGCAACAGTTCCAAACTATTCACGACAAGTTAAAAAGCTCAGGCCTCTATTCCGAAAAAAAAAAGAATTGTGATTGGTTTTGTCAATTTCTAGTAACCCTCTCCCCTCCATTGCATCAAAAACACTGCCAAGTTAAAATACTAAATACCAAATTTATTTTGCCTTTGCAGTATGACCCATCTAAACTTTTTGTAATCTTCCCTCCTTTAAAATATCCCTGAGCAATTTGTATGAAATAAATTATGTATAAACTAATAACTTTCATTTTATATTTCTGTCTCGTATTAAAAAAGGTTACAAAAAACATTATCCGGAAACCATGGTCGAAATAATATATATGGAAAATTATTGTTAAAGGTATAGACCGGTAGTGGTAAAATTGCGGTTCAAGGGTTTTGCGTGCAAACTATCCATTCAATATTGTTTCAATATTGCCTTCAGGTTTAGATTGCAAAACTTAAACCTAAATTCGCCAAAAAGCAGAAATATATGCCTAAATATTTAGTGTTGAAGTGCATTCGCGATATCTATCCAGGCCGGATCAATATGATAATTTACCAAATATATCAATTAGTAGGCGGTTTCCGGGGAAAAGTTGTATCATCACGTATTAATCAACACATATTCTTTCACACGATTGGTAATAAAAGCTTCCATTTCATTTTGTGAGAGGGGGGGGGGGGGGTGTTTCCAAAACTGGTCTATACCTTTAACAAGTGAGCTTGCTCTGTCGAACACCTCATGAATCCACGTTTCTAGTTAATGGTGATGGATATTCAAGTGAAGTTACTTTAGCAGTATTAGTATCAAAACATAATCAAAGAAATCCAACATAGTAAAGCTCAGCAAAAGACGATTTTATAAAGAAAGTGTGACCATGAAGTTGAAAGAAGCAACTACCGATCTCATATCAGTGAAGCAAACAGAGAGGGCGCTTTTCAAATTCAATTGGGTTAATTAATTTTTAAAATATGTTAGTCATGGTTATATGTTTCAAGATTGATTCTAAAAATACTCCATGATATTAACTATCATTCTACGAAGTTTGAATCATTAATTCAAAGGGAGGGGGAAAATAGAAATGAGCATCTCAAACAAGACGATATTATCCTTTGGCTCAGTAACCCTTTGGACGTACTCATTTTTTGAGCTCGGAAGAAGCGTAGTCCGCGACAGATGTTGTACAAATCGTTTGACTCACGGATTTTGATAACGCCAAGAAGTGTATATTATGCCATTTAGTTTAAAGGTAAAATTCGCATAGCACTTACATTTTTTAAAACCTTTCTGCCCCTCTGATTATTATGTAAATCCATACTCCAATTTAACCAAGTATGTTGTATGTTTCCCTGTTTTTGATATATAACTGGCAAAATCCACACAAAAAGAGGTTAAAATTGTTTGTTCATTGACATATTAGTTTTATTTTTTCTATTGCAAGAAGTCAGAAAATTGAATGCGTCTAAGCAAACTCTTCCATTCTTGAACTTATCTAAAAATTAATATATTAATTGATTCAACTGGATGAAGTATTTCATTCTAGACACGAAAGTCATGATGCTACCACACGCTTTTAGAATACCGAACAAAAATAAGTACTAGTATTTTGAGAAAAAAACCCAAATGATTCTTGTTATTAAGCGTCGTTAATTCGTTTCTTGCATCTCTGGTTTTAGCTAGACTTAGAACACTTTGATGAAAATAGTTTTTTTTTTTTTTGTTGAGGATCAATTATTTAATGTGAAAAGAAGATTTTACACCGGCACGACCACGGTGGGGGGGGGGGGGGGCACTAAACAAAGCGCTTAAGCAAATTATTCAAATGGTAGATTCTTGACATTGAAGATAGTGATAATTATGAATTCAACAATGACTTTGTTAAGTAAATGAATGGGAAGGATTCCAATTTCTTTAAGCCAGTTATTAGAGCACTCCTTATATCTCCTCATGTTATATCCTATCTCCATATATTTTATCTTGTTGAGTTTTATTTTGAAAATAATTTGTATGAACGTATTATATTCTTCAAGTATGTATAATAGAATTCTTATTTTGCGCAATCACTAAATGGCATTCTCTTCTGATTTTAAAAATGGGGAGGGTGGGGGACTATAGTTCTACGATTGTGAAGATTCAAACACAGCAGCTAATGGTGCCAAGTGAGTCGACTCGACATTTAAAGGGCTCGTACGTGTATTTATTCTCTAGTATTTTCTACTTCTATTACTATCAATACTTTTACTACTACAACTACTACTACTACTACTGTTGTACTACTACTACTTCTTCTACTATACTACTATTACGCTACTACTAATATTGCATTGCTACTACTACTACTACTACTACCACTCAGGGGCGGCGAAGCATCTTCAAAGTGGGGGGGGGGGGTACCAATAAAAAGGTTACTTTCTGGAGAGAGAAAAGGTGCACCTACAAAGGGAAACCTTACAGCGAAAATATACAATTTTGTGCCATTAGTATATAAACCCCTACATTGTGATTACACTATCTGGGATTATTTCCATATTTTCTCTCTTTACATGGTCCAAGATACTGCTTAATCATCATACTTTGCAGTTGAGGTTGATGGTCTGAGTATTATTTGCGAGCGAGGAAACATTTTAAGATATGTGAAGTCGTAGTGCGTAAAATTACATCTTATAAAGAGGAAACAATAAACAATCCTGATGTGTTTATGACAGGCTTAATAAACTATAAATGCAAACGAGCGAGCTTTGGGGAAATCAAAGAAAAAAAAATTATAATGTCGCTTTGAATTTGTGGCACATATTTGTATGGTGAAAGGGAAAGGGGGAACTTATCCAAATGGCAAAGATCACTTATTTCAAAAGAAAAGGAGCACGCGTCAAATTAAAAAAGGATATTATCAGAGATAAAAACGGGGCATTTCCTGCACCTGAAAAGGGGTACTTACCAAAGATGAAAAAGGGACTAATGAGAATGGAAAAGGGGCACTTGTTAAAATAATGGGGGCACCTCTCATATTTGAAAAGGGGCAATTATGAAATTTGAAGGGAGCACTGAAGGTGGTAAGAGGCACTTTTAAGAAATATGGAACGGGCACTTATTAGATGAAAAAAAATGGGCTCTTATCTGAAGCAAAAGAAGGGGGCACTTTTCCTATGTAAAAATTGGCACTTTCGGGTACTTGAAAATGTGGAGGCGGGGTGAATAGATGGGTACTGTGTCCCCCTGTCCCCACCCCCTGGTGCGCCGCCACTGCTACTACTAATTCTTATTTTGATATACTACTTCTACTACTGCTACTACTACTCAATTTACTACTACTACTACTATTACTATCACCACCACCACTACTCAGGCGCAGATCCACGTGGCGATTCTTCCGGCCTGCCCCCCCCCCCTAGCCCACAAAACTGTTTTTAAAAATAGGATAATAACGTAAACTTAACCTTTTTTTTAACAAAAAACAAGAGCGCCCCCCTTAAAATAAATATATATTTTAGCCAACACCAAAACAAAATTAGTGGTTCTCCTTTCCATCAGCCCCCCCCCCCCCTGCGTATTCACCGGCTGGATGAATCGCTGCTAAATATTTTCTCACGAATTGGCCCCCCCCCCCCTCCCCCGCTTATTCACCGGCCGGCTGAGTCGGCGCTAATTTTTCCCTCAAGATTTGGCCCCCGCCCCCCTCTTGTCGTCGGCTGGATCCGCCCCTTCCA